AAGGTTTCACACTAAAAATTACTGAAATCAGGAATAATTACACTTATGAAACGGAATGTTTTTAGTAGTGTGGTCCATACTTGAGATATTAAATTATACAGAATGTAAAGAATTGGGTGAGTGAAGTAAGATAGTACATTGTGCCGATTCATTCGTTCGAAAGTTCAATGCTTATATTTGGATACATGCGAAAGAAGAGTAGACATGCACAGTGTATTAGAAGCTGATTTATGAATTTACTTTACACCATTTTTATTGACTAAAATTATTTGTTTTTAGACAGACTACGACTACGAGATCAAATGAGGATCTCATCGAAAACGCTCTTCAACAAGTTCCAACATGCACATCAGGTGATCGCCCTCGTCAACGACGCCTTTTGACTAATTTTCAAGCTTGGTCTCATCTAGCAGAACAATATAATCTTCAGTATTGGATATCATATGGGACACTTGTTGGTTATGTTCAACGTCGTGGATTATTACCACATGATCATGATATTGATGTAACAATGATGACTGATGATACCCCACAACTTATTAATATTTCTCGCATGAATTTTTCTACTGATTATGAAATTAAAGTTCAACCACAATGGCATATCGTCGGTGACACTCATCGTTCTTATTTTCGTGAACAAGGTATTAATTTTGTTGCACCTAATGCAAGATTTATTCATCGAAAAACAAGATATCATGTTGATATATTTCCTGCATATGATTTTAATCCACTTTATGCAAACAAATCAATAGAAGATAAACAATCAGAAAATTTAACAATCTATAATACCAAATATAACTGGTTATCATATCCGAGAAGTTGGACATATCCATTGAAAACATGTTATTTTAGTGATATAAAAGTGTTATGTCCAGCAGAACCTGAAAAACTCGTAGAAATTCTGTTTGGTTCTGATGCTATAACAACATCCGATACAAAATGTGTTAATGGTAGTTGGATAAAAACATTTTAAGTTCACTAGACATGCGGTTATCTAGCTTTTAATGATTCCAGAGCAATAACATATTTTGAAAAGATATATTTTTTATGGTACATTATTGTTAGTTTTGATTTCAATGCGCATATTCTGATTATAGTATATTGTTGTAGACATTGTTGTTTCTGTTATCAAAAACAATTCTTGATATTCCATTGATGAGATGTTTTTGAATACCGAATCAGCATGGATCGTAACTGATGAGTAATTGTGCTTTTAATCGGTATTTCCAACATTGAAGTGGCTAAATCAAAGATGTCTTTGTTTGAGGAATGATATCTCGAGGAAAATCGATTTTTATTGATTTTAATAAATATAACCAAAGGAGGATTTATGACTATCTATATACTCTCTACAATCCAGAAAGCAACTCATCCGTCCTGATAAGATACATTGTTGTATATAGATGAAATATGTCATATATTTTTTACAATTATTTATTAGATATAATAATACCACGATAAGACCTTATGTGAAGCAGTGTAATTTTATTTTTATATTTCATGGTTAAATCGAAAATGATTATAGTTATTGATGAGATTGATTCCAATGGACTTATTTTGTAGTAACTTCTGTTTTATGTTTAAAGTCAAATCGTAGCATCAAAACTTGATGAATTTTAAGGAACAAAAACTACACAATGAAAGTTCTATTTCAATTTTTCTCAAGTTCAGCAACTGATTTAACATTTCAATAAAATGTTAAATCTAGGTTGTGTTTTTCAAATTGCAATTTTCTTCAATAGGAAAAATAGATGTAGATCATCATCTTAAGAAATTGAGATATAATAATTTGTTTATAATATAAATTGTACAAAAATTTCAATGAATATATTTTCAAGTCAAAAGTAACTTCAATTGAAATCGATTATCTTTAATTACTGCTATTTCCTACGTGATATTCTACAGCTATGCGTTTTAGAGTGACAATACTCAAGTCATATCAAATATCTTCATCATCGTTTGACATTACATGTGTAGAAATTGTCTTAGATGCTGGAGTCAATAATAAATTATAGGATGGTGATGATGAAGATGAATTAATCGGATCGACATTAATTATTGATGATAATGATGTTGAAAAGAGTGAAGGAGTTGGGGAAGTCATACAAATATAATCAGTCATTGTGTTTGATGAATAAAAATGTGGTGAACATGTTTGATCCATCTAAATAATTTTCTTTACAGATTAAAAACTGAAATATTGATTTTTTTTTGATTACCTTTAAAAGATTTACCGATCAAAAAGAGAATTGATTAGAATTATTGTTATTATTATTTTTTGATGGTCATTTTAAACGAGGCGAATGATAATGATCTGTTTGTGGTAATATTGTTAATGAAGATTGTTCATCTATTCATATATTTATTAAAGATCTATCTGGATTTAATGATTGATAATGTTGTCGAAAAAAAAAATAGTATTATTCTTGCGCTTTTCCCATTTTGTACGACAATATTTACACCAAATCTATATGACTCTTCAAAGACTATGTAATCAAATCAAATACAGAAAAAGTCTTCAATGTCTATGACTTTGCTAAGGTGAAGAGTCATTTCTGTTTCGCTCAATAATCGAGAACAACTGTATGTCAGATCGCTCATCTGTTCAAAACTATATTTCGATAACTATTAAGAATATAGTTGATTACTTTTGAAATTTATCAAGTGTAAGGAAAATATCGAACTTATCGAAACTGCCTTAACAACATCATATACCAATAACAATAGCTGAAAGACGGAGCATCTTCTTCTTTTTTTGTGAATACAGGCAAGATCTAGTTTCGAAAAATAAATAAAACTTAGACAAAATACTCTGTAATAATTTCTTTCTTTTCGATCAGCGTTATCAGTTCATACAAGAATCGATTCCTCTATATTGATGATCACAATTTGTTTTGAATTCTAGGAACAACTCTGACGTGTTTATGCAAGACAAGTTTCAATTCAATATGCTTTTTATATTTGATAAGTGTCTAAATATATATGTTTGAACAAAAAAAATATGAGAAAAATACCTAAAAATAGAACATCGTCAAACGTGAAAAGCTGAAAAAGGTAGTATGGATGATATAGTATTTGTGAGTGAGCTTGAATTGAGGTATGCTCGAACGAGTTTATATCATTCTCTAGTAGTTAGAATACTAGTGAAATTCATTCATTCTATATCAATCTTAAGAGAATTTTACTACATCAAAATAATTCGACGATAATTTATCATTATTAAAAATCTATTTCAATCTTTCATTTTATTTTCATAAAAATTCTTCATGAATTATTTAGCTAGTTCATCATTTCTACTTTCAAATAAGTGACAAATAAAATTATTTACTGACATATATTTTATTATCAATACCTTGTTGAACATTTCTTTTTCATTCAGTGTAATTAATTGTTGTTGACAATAATTTTTCATATTGATCATATCGAAATTAAATTAATTATCTTCTTGTTTCATATATTCAAATCTGTTTTAAAAATGTACATGATCAATTTGTATGTACTAGATTCGATTATGGTTCTAAAGCAATATAGAGGACGAAGTGAGCAAGAAAGAGTGATTATCATTCTTTTAATATTGTTTGTCACAAGAAATTGTTTCTATCTCTTTCTCTCTCAATTAATATGTTCGAAGCACCTCCTTTAAACATTCATAATGATTTTTAAACTACTGCATATACCGTATGCCTACAAACACATCCATTACAAATAGGAAATATACACGCGACAATGTCAATAAACAATTATCATAATTCCGTAAAAACTACAAATAGAAGAAGAAACCATCCAATATCTCATTACATTTTTGTTCAATAGAAAATCAACGATTTCATTTTCTTCATAGATATAAGACACGACATGAAAGCAACCATACACAGGAGATGAATTCATGATACAAAAAAAAGACTATGTAGACATTAAGCAATGCATTTATAAATGAGTGTATGAAAATAGAATAATCATTATACAATAAAATTAACATAAAAGAAGAATTCTGGATAAAACTTAATCAAAGTTTTTTGTGAGGAACTGATCAATATATTTATTAATCTTCGTATCGTACTTTTTCTGAAAATTTGATTTTTCCTTCAATCAAAACAGAGTAAAAGTGCAATTTCTTCATAGGTGAATACTAGATTCAATTCTAGATTATCGCTTTGTAATTCGTTGTCTTATTATCATGTTTATAGAATGCTGTTCTAATAAACTATGATTAGGTGATTTGAGCTCATCAGACAGTTGATGCATAGATCGAAATATCAATGAACTTATAGACTGTAAATAGTGATACTAGAAACTTATAAATTGTTCGGAGAAAATGCAATATAAATGGTAGAGTAATATATCATAATTCGTATTTTTATGCATTTAATTAGATTCTTGTAAAGTCGATATTAACATGCACAAAATTGTTTCAATATTCTAGTGAAGTAAAATATCGTTTTTTCTATATGTTAGCTACCACTTTCAGTATCATGGTGTACATCAATTGTAGAATGTCTTCGAAAGCTCTTTTAGTGTTTCACTCACAAAAATCTATTACCATATTTTGTCCTATTTTTCAATTAAAGAATCTCAATCTATTAATTAAAAAAGATTATTCAAATATATTAATCACATATGAAACTATACAAGATTTGATACTCTTTTTTTCATTCTGTGGCTGATATTCAATTAGTATTAAAAATTTTTAAATATTGTCTTTAGTATCGGGCAAGATTAGAGAATTTACTTATATTATGATTGAGTATTTGTCTAGTAGTTATTGTTCTGAATTCAAAGTTTGTCTTAATATATATCGAATGAAATATAAGATTATAAAAGAAAACCAAATTTGATATGATCGAAAATGCATATAGAGACGTCTTCTTGAATATGACATGATAAATCAGTCAAACGAAAATGAAAAATACTTAAGATTAGAAAATTTATACATCATAGCACACATATCGCAATGAAGTTTTTATCATTTTACTATTTTCATTGTCAACATCCTATTTATTTTTATGAAAGACAATTACTACGTATACTTCAAGTATAATTGTGGGTCTTCTTTTTTCTTCTTGGTTCCTGTGACAACATAAATATCAGACAAACAAATAGACTTATCACAAAATCTTCATGAACAGACCACTTTTATCTAGAAGTATAAAACAGAAATAACAACACTTTTTTTTAAGCATTTGGTTTCATTTTTCGTCTGAAAAGGTAATCTATTGTAAATATTTCAAGCGTTTTATTGATCTTAATCTATTAGCATCATAGTTTCAATACCAATGTATATCTTTTTAGCATGTAATTTTTCAATGAAAAATAGTTGTTTGAGTTTTTAGAATTGATGATAGGTTAAATCATATACAGAGAACATCTCATAGCGGAAACGTTTTCACTGTCCTACAAAATAGTTTTTATATTAATTATGAGCTTAAAGAGAAGGGTTTAACATGATAGTTAGTAATTAGTGAACACTAGTATTGTCAAGAACGATTTTTCCATTTATGTTTTCATTAAGTGCGCTACTAATGAGCATTTGACGTTATAAAAAGTAGTTGAGAAGGATGAAGAAGAAGCAGAAAAGTATATCTCTAGTATAAAATATCCCAATTCCATTTAAGATATTGAAATGAAGAGAGAACTTCACGCTTTCTTATTCATTCTATAGCCTCAGTAGCACGTTCATTATCTCCTGTCTAACATTTCAAATAATTGACGTTTATTTGAATTTAATAATGATAAAACAGATCTATCAACAACCAACTTAAACAATGGCTGTTTTTACTATTTGCAAAGATTAAAAAAAAATATAGAAAGAGAAGTAACAATCTGCTTCAGTCGAATATTTTAGTTACTGAAACTTTTCAGACAACTAGAAAATGTGTATGTTTTTTTCAAAAAAAAATTAGTTTTAGAAAAGAGAAAACCGTTGTATAATGGGCACTTGCTCTGCCGATATTCATATCACCCTTCACTGGCCTTCATCTCCTCTTTATCTTGTCTCTCTTGTTCTTTTCTGTATTTATTTCTCTCTCGCTCGTTCTCTCCTATATAACCGTGTGCTTTATGTGAACTAGTTACATTCTGAAGATATGGAGTAGTCAATAAATATCATTACCAAGAGTGCTGATAAGCTACTCCTCCAGTTGGTCGCTACACTTTCCTATATGAATATGTTCGAAAAGATCGCACAGTCTTGACTGACAAGAGACTTTACTGTATTGATGTTAACTTATGTTGCATATAAGATTTGAATAATATGCTTTTGGTGAAAAATGTTTCTGGATACTGTTGTTGATCTTTCTCTATGTCTTCCAAGTTGAGAATAAGACAAAATTGATAAAGCATACAATGGTCTAAACGAAATTTTGAAATCTCTGCATATTAAAATAGATATTCTTGAAAAGACAATGAATATGAATATTGAACTTAAATCTTCAGTCTCTTTTCAAAATGCGATGAGATGCTCCTAATCTGTCATTTTGTTTCTTTATGCAAATCAAAATTTCTCTCTCATAAGAATTAAAATACATCGTTGGGTTTTTTAACTTTCCTTTGAAATGATTGTAAAAGATTGAGAATAAATAGTCATGACTTTCCTTGCTTCTAATTTAGCACAGTAATACATTTGCCATGCTTTTTCCATACAAAAAAATTGTACCAAACAATAAAGGTGATCACGATGGGGATGCTTGGTGAAGTATAACTCTTCAAAACACTATTCATAAACTGTGTGGTGCTGCACTTAGGCGCGAAAGGATGTGTAAGGTGGATAAAGAGTTACCTTCTTCTGAAATTTTTTTCGATTCTTTACACCAAAATCGAACACAAGTTAGGATTATACTATCACAAACGAGCTTAGAGACTGTGATTTATTGCGTATAATCATCTTTCTCCTCATATCAGCATCCTAAGCTCGCTACGAAATCGATTTAATAGTAAATTCTACTTATTTCTATATAATATCAGATACTGTTAATTTGTATAATTAGACTGTAGCATGTAGAAGACTTCTTTTTGCCTGTTAAACCTGAATATAAATAATCAATGAAATAGAACATAGCTAAAAATTATAGATAAAAATGGATGAAAGCACACAATCATGGACAGACCTTATCACTTGTCATAGTAAAAAACCAAAATTCCAATCACGCACTTGCAAGGTGTACAATAATGAACCGAGGCATTCCGACAATCCAAATAAGTTATGTCCTTGTGGTCGCATGGTTCGTCGCCATAGCTACACTGATGAATCTGTGGAATCCAAAGAGAGAAGCCAAGGAAATACTGAATGGGAGCCTAAAAATCAATTTCTCGACATGAAATATTCTGTCGAAGTGCCTATCAATGTCTTTGGAATACTGAAACCTACTGGTTGTAAATTTCTTCGAATAGATAATCGATTACCAATGGAAGATCTATATCAGTTCATTGTTGAAGATTGCGACAGACAGAAACCAACTCTCATCTTAAGTGTATATGGTGGAGCCAAATATTTTACTACTACAGAACGACTTGAAAAAGAAATTATTAGAGGTATTATTCATGCTGCTACTATGGCCAGTAAATAATTAATATGTTTTGAATATTATTCTGTTAATATAGATCTATTTAGATGCATGGATACTTACTGCCGGCATCGATAATGGTATATCAAAATTGGTTGGTGAAGGTATTTCACATTATCGCCTCTTACAAGAATATCCGCTCACTGTGAAATGTATTGGAATGACTACGTGGGGTACAATAAATGAAGATACACGTCTTGAACTTAAAAGTTCATCAAGCGTAAAATAATGAGAATATTTGTAAGACATCTAAAATACAAAAGATGTTTTTATTTGACAGAGATTTCCAACATCACTATGTCAACGGCAGATTCCAGACGATGCCCAAGAATATAAAGAAACAATTGAAAGAAATCATACACATTGTATTTTATTCGATGGTGGTAAACTGAATGAATATCTCAGTGACGCACATCGTGATAAATTTGTTATCGCAGCATGTAAAGATACACATAATGATCATATATGTATGTACTTATTTGAAAATTTTCTTGATATTATCAAATGCATTTCAATATCAATGTGTATAAAGGTTTCCCAGTAACAATCATGGTCGAAGGAGGTTTAGGTAGCCTTGAAGTTCTTGAAAATGATCTCAAAGCAAAACGACCAATTGTTCTGATTCAAGTTCGTATTAAATAATTCTCACTCATATTATGTGCATTGCATCCAGATCGATGACTCTGGACCCCAGAAAACTATCTGATTTCACTCTAACTGGTCAGAAAGATGCGACAAGAATCTTGTATTCGACATAAAAATATCGAAAACCGATGGAATATAGGAATAATATTCCGAATTGGACAGACTTTATATGTTTTTTTTTCCATAATAATGCTTCCAATTCCCATCGATTTCCAGTGTTTTCTTACTGAAACTAGCTCGTCTTTCTTGATCTGAACAGTTATTTAAATATAGGGTAGTGGTCGTTTAGCCGATGCACTTGCTATGCTAATCGAACAGACATCAAATTCGGATAGAAATCAATATCGGTAATAAAATATGATGTTGTATTTGTTTTTACGTTAAATATTTCTTGAATAGGATCCAATCAGAGCAAGAAATTGAACAAGCTCTTGATAGATTCTTTCCTAGTGTTTCGTATTCAGATATTGGTTCAGCGACAAAAAGAATTCAAAAGATTTTACAAGAAGAAAATCGTTATCTATTACATGTTTTCTCCATGAATCGTGATAAAAATATAGTTAACACAATTTTCAAGGCTATATTTACTGGTAG